CTGAGTTCCCTTAATCTCAAAGTCTCGTTCAAGTGGCCCAAAATGATGGTGGGTGACCCATGGTGACCCAAAGTGGCCTAAATTGTCCAATTGACTGAATATGGGCCTAATTATCTGAGGGTGATGAAAGAGACCACCCAATGGATCATCCCTGACAAGCACTTCCTATAGTGGGAAAAGAACCAGATGTATGATGATGGATCAAGTCATAATGGAGTTCCAATCCCCTGTTGAAAGCGAATGCCCCGAACGAAGACTATCGAGGGAGGCTCCATTCGCTGGAGTACTCCAGCGAGTATTGCTCTCGGACCTCAGTACTTTCGGACCTCGGTACTCTCGGACCTCAGTACTTTCGGACCTCGGTACTCTCGGACCTCGAGAGACGGCAGGGTCCACGAAAGGGGATGAGTCACCCGCTAAAAATTCAGACCTTTTCTAAGTGACTGAAAATCCTGCCGCCCGCATTCGTTTAATGGTGGCTCGGTGTGGGCTTCCGACGTTGGCCCAACTTAGGGCCCACACCACATATGAGGAATTCTAATATGGGCCCGAGTTCGACCAACGTAAGTTTTCTGCCTGGGTGAGGCTCCTCGACGAGTCTCTGGGGTTCAAATTTGACCTAAGGAGACTTAATAACAAAAAAGTGAAAAAATAGGAGATGAAAATATGCTCTAAAGGCATCGAAGGAGTTCTTTACTAGCACGGATTTGATCAGGAACACTTTGCCGAGGACATGAGTGAGAAATAGCAAAAGAGATATAAATATGTACAATGCAATTTTTTTCCGGCCCGCTTTCGCGGTTGACTCCCTTTTCGATAAGATTTTCCGCTCCTAATGATGAAACGAGGATCGTCGCAGAGCGCGGGATCTCGCGCTTCGTTCAAGGTCAAAGGTCAAGGTCAAAGGTCAAAGGTTCAATGATCTGGAGATCGTTGTTGAGGACCTTCAGACGAAACTTGTTTCGATCGGAATTACTTTAAATTAAAATCTTATCTCTATCGGGAAAGCATTCGACTCATGGAAAAGGGAAATTGAGATCCCGTTGAATTTCGGTGCCGGATTCCCGGCAGCAAACTCTTTAAAAGCGACGCGATAAGGAAACGAATGAAACCCGCCGGGTGTCCAGGATTCCCACGCGATCGGCTCCACCTGTCGTCCGACGCTTCGTGAATCCCCCAATTTCAGTTGCATGCTATACCCGCCACACTGTGAGAGTGCTGGGACCACAGTATCGGAGCATCCGGCTTGGTACTTCCAGCTTGGTACTTCCGACCTGGCGTCCGGCCCCCGCGACGTCGAACTGCAATAAGCTAGCATCAGGCCTAGACTAGTTTACGTCGCGACGAGATTCTTAAGAGTAAATATTCTATGGCGGCGTGAAGTGACATGAGTGACTTCGAGGACGGAGGCGACCGGCATCGAAAGACTTAATTTAATTAAAAACTTAACTTAATGTTTCGTAACTTATATTATAAAGATGCCTACACGAAATTCGCGGTTACGAGGTATCGAGATCCTCTTTCAGGTCAAAGCCCGTATTCCTCGACAACCTCATGAGGGCCCTGTTCTTTCTCCTCTCCGCCTTCTTCTCCGGGACCTCCGGGATCCCCGGGAGGACCTACGAGGGCCACAGCCTCCTCCGCGCCACGCCGGAGGACCCCGACCAGCTGGGGTTCCTCAGGGACTTCCGCGCCTCTCGGCCGACGGTGAGTAGCGACTCCGCCGACGCGGGTCGGGTTCCAAATGACGGTGTCCAAATGACGTGTGCGATGTGATTGTATTTTCACCGTGAATATCTTCATGAGAAGATTCTCAAGTTAATGAGAACCCTAGCGCAAAACGTGATATATTTAGAGCTAAGTACGTTCCAACTAAAAAAATAATTGCACTGTATCTAATGAGTAATAAATATTCCCACTTTAGACATTTTTTTCCAATTCATGTTTACTGCAAAGTGTTCCTGTTCAAACCTGTGCCTGTACAGAACTTCCTTGCCTTTCGAGCATATTTTCATTACATAATTTCTCCTTTTTCTTGTCATAAAGTCTCCTTAGGTCAAATTTCACCCCCAGAGACTCCTCGAGGAGACTCAACCAGGCAGAAAACTCACGTTGCCCCATCTCAAGCCCATCTTAAAATTCCTCATTGTGATATGAACCCTAAGTTGGGCCAACGTCGGAAGTCCACATCGAGCCACCATGAAGCGCATGCGGGCGGCATTTTTTGCCGGTGACTCATCCCCTTTCGTGATCCCGGCTGTTTCTCGAGGTCCGAGAGCAACCCTTACGAAAATGTCTTATAGGAACCTAAAGGAATCCTATAGGTTCCTATATGCCCCATAGAGTTCCCTATAGAACCGATAGTGTTCCCTATAGAACTGATAGGGTTCCCTATAAAACCTGTAGGGTTCCCTATAGGACCTGTAGGATTCGTTATAGGACCCGTAGGGTTCCCTTTAGAATCAATATGACCTATTGGGTTCCGTTTGAAGTTCTCCTCCTGGCCACTAGATGGAGGTAAAGGGTTCTCGCGTTTCTCTTAGTACACAAAAGTGCCCTCCCCTAATCCATGGAATCATCTCTCACAGGAAAGTTTTTTACATCCCCATATGTCTCGCCTTACCTCGTTGTAACTTCGACACTTCCTTATTTGTCATCTCCATCTTCAAGTTAGAATCATGGAGTCCAGTCCCAGAAATATGCTCATTTTCCCTTGGAAAACCACGTACGAGAAAACCCAGACTTTATCCGAAAAAAGTTTCAGTAGGGTGATGGTGTTTGCAGGTTCTGTCTGCTACTTCCTTAAGCTGAGAGAAGAATGACGCTTCTCTTTACCGAAGGATGTGGACGCGCTATCCTGCACACTCCAGCAACAAATGTGGACCAGGACAGTAAATTAAGCATGCCTAGGCATGCTTAATTATTATTAGAAGTGCAAGTTCCCCCACCGTGGGAAATCCCATAGTCGGTAATTAATTCACACCAAAATGCTGCGCCAATATTGTCCCCGGTTGCCATTCCCGTAATGCTAGGGTTTCGAAATTAAAAAAATCCTCCCGGAATCTTAGAGGTCAGGAGTCCTATACGACCCTATAGGTTTTTCGTGTTTCAAAAATCTATAGGAAAGTCTATAGGTTTCCTATAGGACATTTCCGTAACCTAGTCTAACTTCCTAGTGTGACTTATCACAATTAACAGGAGTGTCTGATCTGGCTTTAAAATTTTTTTTAAATGAATAAGTATCAAAGAATTCGAGCGTCTTCGTCGAAGTCGTCGGTGCGAAAAGACCAAGTACCGTATGAGAAGTACTTAAAGCTCATCACACCTATCGCTGAGATAACCACCGACATCGCGGCTGCTTCGGCGGTATCTCCCTCCACTTGTGGGACTCTTTTTATCATCGAATGAGATAGGCGGCTTTCCCCTAGATAGGACACATGTTGGCGGCCGCACTAGAGCCGACGTGGGCCCAACGTGGTGTGCTGCTTGGGCCTTCTACGGGGGAAATTGAAATATAAGTTTCTAATAAATATTTCGGCACTATCTTCAGACGATACGCGAATTTTCGTTTCCTTCATGCTATCACCCGGAGAATTCGACCGAGAGACAAAAAAATGAACCCATTCCCATCCCAGATGGACTTCTGGACGGAGCCGTCGGCCGTGGGCCGACCGGTCGACATCCGCGCAGCGCCGGACGAGAAATTTCCCGTCGAAGAGGAATTGAGACGCAATGGACTCCACGTTCGTACCATCATCTCCGACATCCAGAGGTATTTCTTGGTGCTCCGTTTAAAATCGTCATCTCTTTTATCGAATTTTTTAAAAACTTGATTGAAACATCTAATGATTTATTTCTTCCTTATTAATTTCATTTCTCAATTTAATTATTGCAATTTTTGCATTATTACGATACATTTTTGAACGTGCATTCATCGGATACATTTCCTCGCGTTTCCACAGCCTCATAGACGAAGAGGAGTGGACTAGCTCCGCGACCGGGCGGATGGCTTGGGACGACTACCAAGACCTTGCAACCGTAGGTTCTCGAGAAAAAAAAAAAAAAAAAATATATATATATGTAGTAGTACTTCGCTTCACTCTCAAAAATACAAAAATTGAAAAATTGTTTGAACGATTTTGAGATTTACGAGTGGGTGGACTCGCTGGCGTTGCAACACCCGGAGACGGTGACGGTGGAATCCATCGGGACGACGTTTCAAGGTCGGGAGGTGAAGATGGCGCGGTTCAACAGGCGCAGCGGCCTCAACAAGACGGCTGCCTTCGTCGATGCCAGTCAGTTGATGTCACTGAGACCGGTTGGAAATCGATCTGAAGGGGATGCATGGGTTGGATGTTCTGAGGGTGCTTAATCTAGCGTCCTGTCATGCGCTTCTTCAAAACTATTGGGGAAAGATGTCTATGCATGGTTGGGGCTTATATTATTTTTGGGAGCATGTCTAGGAAGGGGTGTTGATGTTTTGCGTTAAGGTGCATGGGGCTACGGAATAGGAAAACATAGAGCATAAAAAATTCCCCTTTTTTAGGCAAAAATATAATGAAATGGTAGCATTTCATTATCTGCTGGATATGAAACTCCAAAAACTTCCCAAATCAAACGGTAAGTTCTGCCGTGAAATTTTGGCATGATACTAGAATCTAATATTAGCAGAAGTTTTGGTCTAAAATGTCCCGCAGCCAGTCCCCAGTAATTGCTTCCAGGAGTGCGAAAGACGCTCCACGGGCGGATGCTGTAAGCGGCTGGACGTTCGCTTGCCTAACGAGTACCGTTCGCCTCCTCCTTGCATGCGCAGACATCCACGCGAGGGAATGGATCACGTCGGCGACGCTCACTTACGTCATGAACGAGATCCTCGCCATGCCGGAGGTGCTGGACCTCTACGACCTCCACTTCGTTCCGGTCTTCAACCCGGATGGTTTTGTGTATACGCACACGACGGTGAGATCCGCGTGCAACCCACATAAAGTTATGATGCTTGGTAATTTATCATTTATTATGCAGAATAAATTGAATTAATAAAAAATGGAATTAAAGGTAAAAAAGTAAAAGGTATTATAAGCGAAATAAAGAATGCAGACATTTTGGACGACAGGATCGACTTTGGAGGAAGACCAGGTCGCACTTCGGCGAAAACCCATGTTTAGGAACTGACGGCAACAGAAACTTCGACTTTCACTGGAACGGTAATATCATAAACCCCTCAACCCTTCAATTGCGCTGACTAGAATGGTGTAGTAAATATAGAATAAGTCTCAACAAAGTACATACAAGAGGCACATAGGCAATAATAGGCACCATCTCTCATTTTCATTGGATCACCCGCGTATCCCGGTGCAGAGGGAGGCTCCAGCAACGACTCGTGCTCTGAGACGTACCACGGCCCGTACGCCTTCAGCGAGTCGGAGACACAGGCGGTGGCGCAGTACCTGGAGTCTATGATGGATGAAGTGGACTGGAAGCTTTACCTCACAATTCACTCCTACGGGCAGGTGATCCTCATCCCTTGGGGATGGACGGACGTGCCGCCTGACAACTATGACGATTTGGTCAGTTCATCGCGGTCTCGAATAAGTAGTAAGAATAATTCACGAGTAGAAATTTTTAAGGTTACGAGAAGAGAAGGGGTTTGGGATCTCCTGCTTTCCTTTGCATGAAAACGCGCCTAGGAATAGTGAGAAATACGAGTGTCACTCCGAAAGTTATGGATGCGAACAATAGAAAACACCTTGGATTTCCATGATTCCACCTTTTCGAAGTCGTTTCCCAGTGTATTGATGCACGTTCTCGACCTCGTTGCGTATCATTTGCAACCAGCAGCTGCCGCTTTTGGGGCTTGAAAACACCTTCCGTTTACCGATTCCTCAGCTCTTGACAGGTGAAATAAAAGTCACCTGGGAGGAAGAACTCCGGCTGTGGGGTTGGTGTGGGAGCACGCTGATGCCGGAGTCTTCCAGGAAATCCGATGCGAGGGCCATTGCGTCCCGGGACGCGTTGTCGCGATGGAACGATTTCAAATGTGACTTGGGCGTCCGGTTCTTCAGAGATTCGAATTTCTGAAGGCCAGATTCTGTGCGCCGTTTCGGTCGCAGTCTTGTCGCCATTTGCTTCCTCACTTCTGGCTCGTTTCACCTCGGTTGGGTCGCATGGGAGCATCTAGACGTTGGATGGGTGCATTTTCCCTGGGTAAAATTCAGATTTTTACGTCTCACCTACGATAATGCCACAGACGTCTCTCGAAGATTCAGAGTCGAACTTCTGGAGCCCGAAATTCCCGCCATTCCACCCTGGTCTCCTCTCGACTTCTGGTGAGATCACGAGATCACCGGCTGGTGACTCTCCTCGGATTTCCTTCCAGGATCTCGTTCACTGCCACTGACGCGACACGATTTTTTTAAGTTTGACTTTTTGTGGTTTCGGAAAATCGTTGCTTGGAAGTGTTCACGTGACGAATTCGTCACGAATTCAAATAATCCCCGAACAAGAGTAAAATACGAATTAAAAAGCTATGAAACAGGTTCAAGGTCACGATGAACTCTAAGAAAAGCTTTTGCACTCGGAAACTTTCGGAATGACCTTCGTATCAATGACGAAAGACTTTTTGGTGTGTCAGGGCTTCTCGTTCATCTTTACCGTGTAATATGACATTTTGAGGTCTTGGCTTCTCCGCTTGAACCAAGAGAAGAAAAAACCCCAAAACTCTCACAAGATGACGAGACGCGCTGCCAGGAAGGGGTTAAAATCTGGATTATCCTAAGAACGTTCCACCTCTTTTCCCCTTACCCCCCTCGCAGATGGAGGTGTCCTTGGCGACCATAGAGGCGATCGAAGAGGTGAACGGGACCATCTTCGAAATCTCCGAGCTCGGTAGCCCTGGACGTAAGTCGTTCAGTGTTTCCGTTTACGTACGAATGAGTCTTGACCTGGATTTCTCAATCTTCTTTCCATGGTATGGGATTCTTCCATATCTTTGAGAGTCCCAATAGTATGCAATTCAAGAATAACATGTAAAGGATCCCCGGGAGTTGCAAAAATGAAAATTCTCGGAATCGATTCAAGTCGCCTTTAAAACGAACGATTTCTCTCTCTCAGAGGAGCTGACGGGGAACACGATGGACTGGGCGAAGGGGGAGGTCGGCATCCCCTTCGCCTTGTCCTTCGAGCTGAGGGACAACGGGGAGACCGGCTTCCTCCTTCCGCCGGAGCAGATCCGGCCGTCTGGAGAGGAGATCCTCGCTGGGTTCCTCGCGATGCTGGAGGGGGTGCGGAACAAGACCGTGGCGTTCTAGGACCGATTTGGAATAAAAGTCCTTTTGCGGTGGATGTTTCGATTTTGTGTGGAGTCGATTGAATGGTCTCGAGGTTCAAGGTTCGGATAGGGACGTCAAAAGCCACTTTCGCCATTATGATCAAAGAGAAGCGCTTTGCAAATTTTTTGGAAATTCCATTGTCACAAGCAAGAATTGTATCACGTTACAAGGTGCGACTCATTCCTTTTCTCTGCAATTAGTAACTGTGATCATCACTTCAGAAATGGAACGATTTGTTGCCAAGAGTTACTTTTTTCTGGAACATTTAACTTCCTCTTTCCGTTTCTCAAAGTATGTTCATTTTCGACTTGGAGCACTTGTGACACTTGTGATCATGCGCAACGGAAACAGGCCGCATGGAAAAAAACATGAAGCGAAATTCAAGATTTCATCTGGTTTGAATGTACGATCGCAATGCATTCATTTGATTGGGGATTTCGATGCAGAAGTCGGCACGACTTCTGCATCGAAATTCTGCTTTTCTGAAGACTCAGTCATACCCTCCTGGCATGGGATGTCATTCGGGAGGCTCGAATCCCATTCAGGGGAATGGCGGCCGGCCTCGTCGATTGACTCC